CATACTCACTAACAATGCTACTACACCACCACCTCTGTAAGAAATTTCTTTTAACAAGCTGCAACCTAAGTTCTATGGTCCTTTTGAAGTTTTGGACAGAATTGGATAGGTTGCTTATGGACTGAAATTGCGTGATGGAAGCAAACTTCACCCTGTATTCCATGTCAATTGCCTTAAGAAGCATTTGGGGTCAGATGTAACACCTGCAGCCACTCTGCCTACTGTCACAGATGAGGGTTTAATCAGCAAAGTCCTTCATCAGTGCTTCAGAGGAGGATGTACAAGAAAAGCAATGTAGTTCACTTGCTTGCTTGTACAATGGGAGGGCAGCAGCAGAGAAGCTACTTGGAAAGACTAGGATGACTTCATGACTGTTAGATTCCCAGAATTTAAATTTTAAGTAAACCTTGAGGACAAGGTCGTCTTCTAAGAAGGGGAAAATGAAATGAACTGTGATTAATCACATTAGAGGTTATTAGTTGTATGGGTTTATTTCTTGTCTTTTTGTAGTTTGTTGTACAATGCCAGCTGGCAAGTGATGTAAGGAGTGGTATAAGAGCACACTTTGGGCATGAAAGTTGTAACGGTCAATTTCATTAAAGAAATATTTTACAAAATTACAAAATGAAGCTCAGCTTCTTCTTCTTCTTCTTCCTCTATCTCTTTCGCCATTGGTAACCTTGTAGCTACTAGTTAAGGTCGAATTGGACCTTATCAAGGGGCCGGCGGCTGAGCTTGGTTGCAGATTTACGGTTTTCTTTTGTTGAAAGCGAGAGCTTGGTTCCATATCATGTTTTTAGCAAAGCTAATGGTGCAGCTCATCGTTTGGTTCATTATGCTTTGACACTGAACACTGATGAAGTGTGGCTAGCGGATCCTCCTACTTTTCTGCAGGACATTATGTTTGAGGATCTTAGTACAATTCAATAAGGTTCTTTAATAAAATTATCGTCTTTCAAAAACTTGCACTCATGTCCAGTGCAAACAGCTAAGGTAAAACAACGTTGTTCTTGGGACCTTTTAACATCTCTCTCCTGTTCGTGCGTGCTCGTGTGTGTATTACGTTAGGATCTCGTTAAGGTTTGGACCCAGGGACTAAAATTAGCTTGGAAAACCTAGTGCAGGTCAATTAGCGCAATACTACTACCTCGGAATTTATCAAAGCATTGCTATAATTATAAATAATAAAAAGGGAAATTTTATTTGAACCCACATAACCTTTTTTTACACCCAACTTAACTATAAATGAAAATTATCTTTTTTTTTACCCTATTGCATAATTACTATCAAGTACAAGATGAAATGAAAATTAAAACTAAAATTTATCAATAAACCCACCCTTAATAATCAAACCCTATCACCATTTTTACAAACACACTATCAATACTGAAGTAAACATAGACAAAAACACTGAAACGAACCTTCAAATGGTGGTCCATAAAGGACCTGAACAATTGAGCAAGTCGAAAACCGAGCTGTTCGATTTCACGAGCCATGCAGATATGATGTCCCAAAACCAGGCCACTACATAATATACTGGGAGATCAAAGGATAAGTTGAAGAGAGAGAGTTCTTAGTGAATGTTGTAGAGAAATGGATGCAACATTTTTGGATCATGGCTATGTGGTCTCGAGGAGAAGCAATTCGATCCAGCCTCTTGAGCTTCGAATTGTGGAGAAGGGAACTTTCAAGAAAATTTTGCAACAATTCAACTCAGTTTTTCAAATTATTAACATTTAATAAGCCAATAATATATAGAACATTTTTATATATACCCAAATTCAAGCTAGTTAGCTATAAAGGGGATTTTTTTTCTGTTAGATCCAATTTTATTTTATAAATGGGTGTAAAAATAATTTTACACTTTGAATTGGGGTTGGAAGGGTAGTTTAGGTAATAAATTTGGGTTTAAAGAGATATTAATTCTTTAATTGCAAATAATATGGATTTAGAGAATAAGTTAAATGTAGAAAAATGTTACATGAGTTCAAATAAAATTTTCTTAATAGAAAATAACCATCATCTCACATCCTAGCACCAACAGTAATCACCTGAACTTGTCATAAGATATCTTCATCAATACTTTCTAAAAATTAATAACACGATGGGACAATAATTATTTTACTAATCACATTCACAGATATAGGAGGTACACTAAGCTAGCTAATCTTAATTAATTGGACCATCATCGATATACTTAGGGAGGCAGATTCTCTGCCCTCTCACTTTCCGTGTCCTCTGGTGCCCTCTTGTTTGTGTGATCACGGTTAAATCAGGTCAACATTTATATTATTATAAAAAAATAATATAAAATATTAATGTAACTTAACCGTAATCACACAAAATAAGAGGGTACGGAAGAACACGGAAAGTGGGAGGACATAAAATCTGTCTTCTATACTTAGGAAATCTTATCCTTTATCAGGCGGACCATATTCTAAATCCCACACCTACCACTTCCCAGTCCATCATTACTATTTAAAACCACCAAAAAGCAATCACACAAACATCTTATTAAATCTAAATTTCCAATTTTTAGTTTTTTCTGTATTCAACCATTCACAAACCCGTACTTACAATAAGATTAAACCAAAGGAAGGAACTCAAAGGGGGATTGTGGTTTTTTAGCAATATACCTATGTAAACAAGTAGATACAGATACTTGTCATGGGATCAAATGCTGCCATTTGTAGCAATCAAAACATGGTCACTTTGAATCCCCGGTTCACGCGTGATGGTCAAAAGCTATATGAGATAGAGCGCAATACCCTTTTTTTCTATGCTATAATCGCCCACCAAATATTAAAAAGTAAATTTTGCTTCACAGATGTCATGACTTGAACTCATTAGGCTTGAATATTTCCCAGTAGTGGATTTCTCGTATGATTAAATTATTATGAGTAGTTTTACATGTATCATGTATATTTATTATTTATTTGTATGTACTCAATATTCTAATAGATAGGGTATTGAGTTTTTATTCATGCGTCTTGAGTTTGAAATTTCTTTTTTTCTCAAATTATTGTAATTGTTTCGAATCATTCTCCCTCCTCTTACTAATAAATAAATAAAAAAAGGGAGAGGTATCATATCTATTTATTATTTAATAATGGATTACATCTCTCATCTAAATGTTGATAAAAATTGCTTTAAAAAAACAAGTTCGCCTTTCTCACTTTTTTTAAGAAGAGAACTGCTAGGGACTTACATCAAAACGTACAAAAATCTAAAATTTCATATTCCAAACTGTTATGATGGAAATAATTGATTTTTTTAGGAGATTTTAAATCTATACTACATATTTAAATTACATATTACTAGAATATTTTTTGTCAACCAAAAGAATATGAAAAGATTATTTAGTCTTTTATCGTATCAAAAAAAATTAAGGGCAATAACATAATTTTGCAAAAAAAAATTTGTTTTTTTTTATTGAAGCATCACCTACAGATGATTTAATATCTTTAATTTAAAAAAATTAAAATAAATAAAAAATAAATATATCTTCCTCTCTCCCCTCCTACGTTCTCTCTCACTCTCTTCTTCTCTCCAATTTTAAAAATATAAATAAAAAATTTCACACGCGTGTGGGCATGTACTAGTTCTATTTATGACATGTACAGGGTGAAAATTTCACTCTCAATTTTACAATAGTTTTAATAAAAGCCTTTCATTTGCTTCTCTTCAATGCATGAAAGTTTTATTTACAAAAAATGTATCGTAATTAATTTTGCCATAATTCTTCTTCTAGTGATCGATTCAACTGCTGATGAAGAATATTATCCGTAATTTTGCTATATTTCATCTCTTCAATAAGTTCAATAATTAGCATAACAACCATATTGCTCCGATTGAGTGAAGAACTTATGATTACCTTTTCAGAAATATCTAATGAACTATTTTAGTGAAAACTACATCCATTCATATTTGGACATGACTACAACCTTCGTCACTGTTAACCAGATAAATTTTTTTAATGTCGTATGTCATATATAGTTAATCAATTAATGACTAAAACTTGAGAACCTTTTGAGACCATTATATTACAACTATGAGAGATGCGATCAATATAGTATCAACAAGCATGATAGAAGAAAATTTATTGAGAAGTTTTTGGAAATATTGTTAGGGTTTGGGGTTGAATGAGCATGAAAGTACTGCCAAAGGCCAAAGAGCCGGGGGTACCCCAAGAAAAACAGCTAAAAGCAATAGAAAGTGATAAATCGAAAGGGGAAGTTGCTTAGGAAGGTTTCACGTGAAAGAGGTGCAACCTTTCTAAATATGTAACGTAAGTCTGTAAGTGTGTTGCACAATAGTTAAAAATACCGACTCACCTTGTTGAGTTGGCACTCACATATATGCTTATTGTGATGTCATGGGTGCAGGGGTTTTCTTTACTACAGCCACCTAATGCTAAACGCTAATAAACTAATCATCACAATTCAGCCTTTCATGCAACAACATAGCCCCAACTTCTTTCTATATAAATACCAAGGACTCTTTGTATTCATGATCTCGTGGCAAAGACTTGGAATATCAGAGAGATAAAGAAAGAGGATATAGGGTTAAGCTATATCGTATATAACCCTGTTCCTTCACTTTCACTTTCAGTTTCATTTGCTACACATCTCCAAAGAGAGAACTCTAGCCAGCTACCATGTCTGCATCAACTTCTCACCATCCATTGGCTTTTGCCTTTGGCGTTCTAGGTATAACAATATATTAGCATTGTCATTGGTTTCGCAACTCTTTTTCTCTCCATGCACGCCAAGCCCTACTTATCTATGATCTTTGCATTGAATAAGAGACGAAATAAACTGAATTGTGCAAAATCGTTTTTCTTTAGTTTTCCTGATTCTACTTTATTTGAAGAGAAACTAACTTTTTTTCTTCTTACTATTTTCAATTAAACAGGCAACATTGCCTCGTTCATCGTTTTTCTAGCTCCGCTGTAAGTTATATTTCTTATCAATTTATTTCAGGGATAATGAGGAATTACAATGAGGTTTATTAGTTTTTTTTTCCGACTAATTTTTTGGGCGGTGCAGGCCGACGTTTTGGAGGGTGTATAAGAAGAAATCGACGGAGGGATTTCAATCAGTTCCATATGTGTTTGCACTGTTCACTGCAACGATATGGATATACTATGCATTCCTCAAGTCTAATGAGATCCTTCTCATCACCATCAACTCATTCGGTTGTGTCATAGAGACCATTTATATTGCAATTTACCTTACATATGCAACTAAGCAAGCGAGGGTGAGTAGTGTTATCTTCTCTCTCTCTCTCTCTCTCTCTCTCTCTCTCTCTCTCTCTCTTGAACAAATCTGCATGTTAAGAGAACAAATCTGCATGTTAAGTTTAAAGGAATTACTGCAGAGTTGCTAGAGCAGTGTGCGTTTTTCGCAGTTTGAATTCCCCTCCCATTAGTCTAGGTGAATTCCAGGTAGAATATGACTTGTTTAAAGGACTTATTTATAATTAATAAATCAAATTTGTGTTGCAGGTGTCCACTCTGACGCTGCTTTTTCTGGTGAACTTTGGGGGATTTTGCTTGATTCTTCTTCTGGCTCACTTCTTATCACAAGGGCCGACCCGCGTCGCAGTTCTAGGATGGGTTTGTGTGACTTTCTCTGTCAGTGTCTTTGCAGCACCTTTAAGCGCCATGGTAATTGATTAAGCAAGTACTGTTTTCAAATTTTAAAGGTTTAAACAAAATCTCAAATTTTCTATGCATTAAGATTTAATACATGCACGATTTTTTATTTTGTGTTGTGCAGAAAATGGTTATCCGCACCAAGAGCGTGGAGTTCATGCCATTTAATTTATCCTTCTTCCTCACCCTAAGTGCCGTTATGTGGCTCAGCTATGGCTTACTCCTCAAGGATCTCTACGTTGCAGTAAGTCATTTTATTTGTGTACGGCTATTTCGGTTTAACTAATTAGCAAGGTGTGTACGGTTAACCTGTCCTTAATTGTGGACTTTTCCTTTTTCTGATTTTTAAAATTAAAAAAAAAAATCTGGTGATTATATGTTAATGTGTGCTACGATGCATGTATAACGCTAGCTTGATCACATCAACCTTTAATTGATTTATATCGTGGCAAACCAAAAATAAGTCCATTAAAGTTAATTAAATCATCGAATAATTCAATTAAAAAGCATGATTATAAGGAAATGGAAAAAATCATTTGTTATGCAAACACTATCTCTTAATGGACCACTCTCTTACGACAAGTTTAATTTAGTGACATAAGAAAGCAACAAGAACTATTTAAGAAGCTCCAAAATATTGTTCGGAAAATTCAGGGCTCGTCTAGAAGTACTTTTAAGATGACTGAAAATATTTTTGGGTTCTAAAAGCACTCGAAGTGCTTTCTGCAAGAAACACTTTTAAAATAACTGAAAACGCTCTAGGATTTTCTTGCATTTTTACTAAAGATTGATTCCAATAATATTTTCACCAAAACTACTTTCAGTCATTTTAAAAAGCACTTCCAAACTAGCTCTTAATTAGATTACGTTATGGCATTTATTTTGATATTTTGCATGGTTTAGCAGACTCGTCGGCTAGAGCAGTGTGTGCTCTCATCTGCACTTAAGTTTGAATTTTACTCCTTACATAAATTTAATGTAGAATTTCCTCTGTATAAGAATATATTTGCTAGCTTTAATTAACTAATCACATGATCTTTTCACTTGCAGACCCCAAACATTGTTGGTTTCTCCTTTGGGTTGGTTCAGATGGCCCTCTATGCAAAGTACAGGAATAACAAAACAAATGTGGAGGAGAAGCTACCAGAACAGAAAGCTGATGTTGTGAAGCAAATGACAATTTTGACTACTACTCCTGAGCTGGAGGTACAAGTCCAAGCAGCTGTAAGCTCCCATGCCAATAGTACTGATGCTCATCCAAGCTCTGAGCATAACAATGACCAATATATGCATGCACAAACATGCCATAACGAGAAAATCATCGAACCCTCCATGGCCGGCCAACTTGTTACATGTGAAGTTTGAATATTTGGTCATCTGCTGCCTGCCTAAGAGCAATTCCACCCATGGAGCCCTTCCCCTGGCAATCCACTATTCAATCCACCCTATTAAACAGTAACTGCCTTAAATGAATAGTAACTACCATTAATGAACAGTAATTGCCATTTACATCTCCACCCTTGGAACCCTCCCCCCTGTCAATAAGCAATCAAAATAATAGTTTTTTTTGTTTGTTTAAATAATAAAAAACCTCTTTCTCTCTCTCTCTCTCTCTCTCTCTCTCTCTCTCTCTCTCTGACACAAAAAATATAAAAAATTGCAAAGCACTCGGGCCACAGGCCCGTCGACTCCCCACCCCCCCCTTCGCTCGGCCTCCCACCCTCACTCGGGCCCTTCCCCGCTGGAGCTGCTCTCACCGGCCCTCAGGCCCTTTCTCCTCCCCTGTCGCCCGAGCAACCAGCATCCGCTGGAGTTGCTCTAATTGTACCTGAATCAGTCGAGATCGATCGCTCTATATAAATATTTTAGACGTCACTATGCATATGTAACGTAGTGTACATATGCCCTTTTGGTGCATATTTAATTTCCGTGATGTTTAATTTTCCTTTATATTTGTGTAATCCTAATGAAGGTATAGACTAGCCTCCTCTTGTTCTTGCCCATTGTAATGGTTGCTAACACCTTTCGAAGGCATAACGGTCTTCAACAGTAAATATATATATATATTTCTTCGCCGTTTATGAAATAAAATTTGTTACTTTAACTTAAGAGAATGAGAGATTTTTCAATGTGCCAGAATGTGGGCACATATGCCAAATGTCATTATACAAGTGGAGGGACACTTTAAAAAAAAATTACCTCCACTTGTATAATAGCATATGACGTACTGTACCATATTTCGGGCACATTTAAAAATCTCGAAGAGAAGAAGAGATTTTGGTTTATTCGCGCATTAATTAAAACACTTGATTTTCATCATTTGGACAAGATTGCTTTACTATTTCGTTAATTGAAACAAAGCCTGAGATTGGATTTTGGCTTTAGTCCTTCGATTTGGTACATTAGTTTGAACAGGTACACAATTTTCACGAACAAAAATCCAATTTAACACTCAATTTAAGAAAATAATTTTATTTAATTTAGGACTCAATTAATTTTTTTATCCAAAAAAAAAAGTTCAGAGTTTTTGTAAAATAGTATTATAATGAATTTATGGACTGGTTTATTCAACCACTATGTGCACTGTTCTAAAAATCCCCGCCTAGGTGTTAGGCGCTAGGTCACTGCCCCGATTAGTCCCTAGACGTTTGAAAATTAAGAAATGACACTCTGTCATTGTCTGATTTCTGGTTGTCTGATCACACTCGTCCATTCATCTAGAGCATACGGGCATTCCAAGAAGCACCTTTCCCTATGCCTAGACCCACTTATGCGTCCGCCTAACCCGCTTAGGTGTCCGCCTAGATTGCAAATCTCACTTAGATAGAAAATCGAAAACTTTCAATTTTTCAATAAAATGTAAGAAATTTATTGAATAATTGGATGAACACTCATTAATTATGTGCTTGTTCCCCATATTTTCAATATGTTCTAATACTTTATAATTTATGTGTCATTTTTGTTGTAACTTATGTATCTCAATACAATTACGTGTGTTTTATAAGTATAAATATGCACTTATTTATACAATATATAATAAATTTACTTAAATCTGCCTCCACCTAGGCCCCTGCCTAACAGTCTAGGCGCTAGGCCCTGACTTGCCATCCGACTAGCGCCAAGCGTTTTTTAGAACTTTAACTATGTGACGGTCAAATAATATTTTAGTAATTAACTTTGTTTATACCATATTTAGGGCCTCGTATTTAGACCTCGTATAAATACTCGGGGGACTTAAAAGGTAATTATATGATAAAAGAAGGGGCAAATATGTAATAAGTGAGGGGTCCTTATTCTATAAAAGGACCCCTCACCCTCACAATTAGAGGAGGCCAAATTCTTATGCCCTCTCACCCTTTCTCAACGCTCTCACTCTCAGAGCTCTTTCTCCTTCAAATAAATACAATCAGTGTGGACGTAGCCCAAACCTTGGGGTGAACCACGATACATCTTGTGTTATTTACATTTCTTGCAGATTTACGGTCGAATTTACGTTGTACCAAGACCTCCGATTTTGTGCATCAACAAACTTTCCTCATATCATACAGCCTAAATTCTAGTTTAAAATGTATGCTTACCTATAATACAATTTAACATGTATATTTAAAGATCCAGATAAATCGAATCTCCTTTTCAATCTTTCTCGTTCTTTCGAAAAAAAAAATACGTTTAGTTTAACCTAACGTACGGATGCATCGAGACCAATTAAAGTTGCATGATAGAGGTAGCACTAGACTTTGTTTTTAGGTATGCTTCTGTATGTGTATGCACGTATTGGCATATATTGGTAGTGCTTGTTGCCACGTTTACGACAAGTAAGACAAGTAAGACATAGTTGGTGTATTCAATTCAACTATATATTCTTCCATTGACGACAAGTAAGACAATATGGTATTCTGCGTTGCATTACGTAAGAGGAAATTATAAACAATGGCTGGCTACAGGCATATATAACAAAAAAATTGAAGGCGGAAAATCTTTACGTGTAAATCACATAACCTGTAGTTCCCTCCTTCTGCCATCGGTTGGAAACCTCCGGATAATCCTGCTTTCAAGTTGATTCTGATGGGTCTGTAATCTTGGATGGGTTTGTAATCGATCTGGTGATTGGCAATAACTATCGCAAGCTGCTAATTGTGGGTTCGTAATTTGGGATCATGCTGGATCTCCGATTCTAGCTGGCGCTAAGAAGGGTTAGTGTTGCGAATGTGCTGGTTGCTGAAGGTCTAGCTCTGCTTGGTGGTCTTGAAGCAGCCTGTCAGAAAAATCTAAGGGGTGGTTTGGGAGTGAGGTGCTTAAAAAAAAAAGCACCCATGAAAAAAAGCTGTGAGGGTTTTAGGTATTTGGTAAACTGAAAAAAAATGGCTTATTTTGGAAGCTGCTGTGAGAATAAGCTGAAATCAAAGGAAAAAGCTGAAGCTGCTATTTGCAGCTTTGGAAAACTGGCTTTTTTTCAAAGCACACGGAGCTACAGTGCTACTTTAATGAAAAGATCCACTATTAGACTACTTTTTTTTTTCCAAAAACACTTTTACAAAAAAGTTTACCAAATACTCTACTGATTTATTTCACAGCCGCTTATTCTTACAGCAGCTTTTTTTCAAAGCACAGCAATACCAAACCAGCCCTAAATATCCTGGAAATTGAGGGAGATTCAAAGGCGCTTAACTATTGGTTCGATTACTGGAGTCATTTGTGCTCCTTGGAGGATACGCACAATCTTGGTCAATATTCAGAGGTTGGTCTGCAAGTCTCTTCCGTCTGAACTCTTCTAGAGATTTGAGGTGGATGCAGTCTCTTCCGTCTGAAGCTTGGTTAGCGTGGCGTTGCGATTGCTTCTCTTCTGTGTGTCCTAGAGGCTTTTTGTTGCCAGTTGTTTTTTCTTATCCAAGTAAAAAAAAAAAACCAATTGTTTGTTCTAAAACAATGGGTATGTTTGCCCACATGTATATAGTAAAGGTTCACAAGTTAAATAGTGAACTTTCTGCTTTCATAATGTTTGCTCTATAAATAGAGCATTACAAGGAGATGAATGTGAGGGAAGAGATTGTGAAGGAGAGAAAGAGGAAAGAAAAAGAGAGGAAGAGGAGAGGAGAGAATAGTGAGATAGAATAGTGAGAGTTATTTTGTACTACTATTATTCCAAATTATAATGAAAGCACTACTGCTGTTCCGATGACGTACTCTAGTCCCACTGACTGTAAAGGAACCTAGTAAACTTTGTGTCTTATTTATTTATTACAATGCACACATTGTCGATTTTACAACACGTTATCAGCACGAGAAGTTCTCATGTCAATGGAAAGCATAGCACCACAAATCATGTTCACCTCCTTCAGCTGGAATCTCACAGATAAGAAAATCTTTTCATTTTATCTTCAAATCTCAGTACAATTGATTTTCTTGAAGCAACTATATATATTGTTGTATGACTATATATCATCCTTTGCAGAAGCAAAATAGTACAGACTCAAAATTCGTAAAGAATTTGACAACCATGTAAACAGCCTCGGGACTCCAACTTGAAGACCTCGGATTGAAATACTTTCTTCTTGAAAGTTGTTCGTCCACTCAGTATCTACGACATATCAAAATTTCAGAAAACCTTAACGGTGTGATCATCGCAGATGTTTGAAATACCAAACCAGTTTCCAATTTCCGCAGAAAACTGGACAGCCACCTTATGAGTACCACAACTCCATTTTTGTAGTTCAAATCGAAATTGTTTCTTCACAAAAGTTGTTTGGTATCCTCTTATCCATATCATACTAAAATTTGAGCTAAATATAACGGTTTGATCTCCTCATACGTTGCAGACACTCTTGATTCCAAAACTTATGGGAACCGTTTCGACTTTTTCGAAACTCACGGAGGAGGAACACCAATTGGAACTTATTGTTACTATTATTTTCTGAGTAACCAAAATGACTTCAGAATTGTGAAAACAAAAATAAAAAGGAAAATGGGGCCAAAGCCTTGAAAAGATATGTTGCACCATGTGAAAGAAAACAAAAGGTAAAGTTGTTTTTTTTTTTTTTTGGAATTGTGCAGCATGTGAGAAAAGGAAAGGTTTTGAAGCCTGGTGCTGACAGAAAGAAAAAAAAATTAATTAACAAATAAAAGGGACAAAAGGAAGTGGCAAAATAAAAGGTTTTGATACTATTTATTTATGTGAATGGTGTTGACTTAAAATCCTTTCACAAGTTCTATTTATTTAAAGCAATTTATTTACAGTGGGTAGAATTATTACTCTTTGCTTTAAAACTTTGATATTTATGTGAATGGTGCTGAATCAGAGCCCTTGTCACAAGCTTTATTTACTTTCACTACTACAAAAGGCCATATTACTGTCGGTTAAAAAACGACAGGAAAAACCCCTTACTGTCGGATTATTGGGCAAAATCCAACATTAAATCGTGCAATGTCGGATATAGGAACCGACACCAATGCTACCGTCACAAAAAGGGTATTGACGTCGCTTAGGCACCTTAATCCGACACCATGAAGCAAAGTAATATAAAATAAAAAGGAACAAAGGCGTCGCTTAAAAGCGACATTAACACTGACGTCGCTTATAAGCGATGTAGAAACGCCCCAAGATGTCAATTCAAACCAA